TGTATCTGTATCTGTATCTGTATCTGTATCTGTATCTGTATCTGTATATGTATCTGTATCCGTATCCGTATCCGTATCTGTATCTGTATCCGATTTACTTGAATGCTTACAATTTTTCTGATCCTTGCAAACTAAAAGAAAACCCAAAAGATCCGGAACCCCTGTTTGAGTGGCTCCATTGTTATTTTGTCCAGAACCAGCAGAACCAGAACCAGCAGAACCAGAACCAGCAGAACCAGAACCAGCAGAACCAGAACCAGCAGAACCAGAACCAGCAGAACCAGAACCACTGGTGGTCAAAGCAATGCTAGTCTGAGTCGCAGCTACCGTGCTAGTCTGAGTCGCAGCTGGCGCAGCTGTCGCAGCTGGCTCAGTTGTCGCAGCTGTCGCAGCTGTCGCAGCTGGCGCAGCTGTCGCAGCTGGCGCAGCTGTCGCAGCTGGCGCAGCTGTCGCAGTTGTCGCAGCTGGCGCAGCTGTCGCAGCTGGCGCAGCTGTCGCGCCAGTTGCTGCTGCACCAGATGAGCCAAATAGAATACGTCCATTGGCGAGAAATTGCTGAACAGCCGAATTAACAGTGCCATTGTTATTGCTATTGAAGAATGGGACACCACCAGTACTGACATCATTCCAATAGTTTTGGCTTGTGTCACATAAACCAGGAAATTGAGTGCTTTGTGTTTGGCATCCACTACCAGTCGTTCCAACGGCATAAATTGGTTGACCATCAAAGTTATCTCTAGCAGTATCACAATGCATATGAACACAATTGCCGACATTTCCGAAGGAAGTTGTAAGTATGCCACATCCTATGCAAAAGGCATTTTCTGTGGCTAATAGTGTAAAATGTGAAATATCGCCATTTCCTCGAGCGGTTGAGAAATCATTATTAGCAGCTATTGAAGTGATCCTTTGATTCTCATTCCACCAGTCTGTAATGATTGCTCGTATAGCATCTGGTATTGAAAGCGGAGGATCACTACATGTAAGTCCAGTATTTTGACCAGCAAATAGGAAATTTTGTGTATTATGGCATATATCGTGTTCAAGTGAACATTTTAATACATTTCTTTGTGCCTCCATTTCGAATTCGGGATTCCAAACCTAGAAATAGAAAAAATACCCTAATTGAAATGTATTGTTGTGATTTTGCTTGCCAAAAAATATATGAACGTATCGGATGAACTGGATGGATAGCCCATTTTTGATAAAAGAGCGTCGAATTTGGACTAAAATGTACGAATAAGATGTGAAGCTATATATAGGTACTAAATTATAGGTTTTTGGGGCCTCTTTCGATAAGCCAGATATTTGTGATCGATTTTGGAGTAAAATCAATTTTTCTTCGATTTTCACTGACCATTGTTGCCATTCGTGTAGCGGGTCTATTGGCCATAACACCAGTCAATTGACCCAAAGCGGCTACACTTCGTAATCTATTTATAGTATCCAATATAAGTGCTCTGGTGGTATCCGTCGTAGCCACAAGTGCTGGATTAGTACAGTTCGGTGAAAAGGCCTAAAAAATAACATAAATAATAAACGGGATAAAAAACGACACAAAAAATCTATACGATTTATTTTCAAAAATGTTCGGATTCGATGTACATAGTCATTCGAATTTCGTTGACTTTTTATCATGAAGAATGTTCACATTGTCAAAGAATGAAACGAAAAGGAACACTTTGAAATAGAAAAGAAAAAACCATTAAAAATTTATGAAAAATAATTGACTTACATTTGGAATATTGCACATCACACTCGATTGATTTGGGCACACAGGCAACGAACAGTAACCCCCCGCATTGCCGTCAACAGGCTGATAAAAAAAAACAATTAAATTTGTTGAAAATCTATTTTCAGTTTGCGCCCAAAGGAAATGGAAATCTACGTACAGTCACCGTTTGTGCTGCTGCTAGAGAAGACACTACAACCACACCTAGGTAAGTCAAAAGAACACACAATTTCTTCAATATTACCAAATATTTAATTTATACCTGAACAAAAGTTTGATTGTATCGTAATTTATTTTACCCAACAGCACTGAAATCGTATTAAACCGCATTTTTTCCACTCAATTCACTTTACTCACTGATGAATGTCCGTCCGTACAACACAAGCCCTTTTATATATCAAATTGCAGTCTCGAAATTTGTTTTATTTCAAATAAATATACTTGAACTTTCCCATTTTTTTCTTCGAAAAATGCAAATAAAATTATTCATTTACAGTTTCTATTTCACATATCAAATATTTGGCAATGCGATGTGCCCAGGCTGATTCACAGTAAAGGTGTCAAATGTAGGTGTAATGGGCATCACTTGTCCGAAATATATAAATGATGTCCGAACGGTTTGTCCGATTGACATCTTTAACTTACGTTGAACTGCAACAAACCAGACTTTTGTGCACTCTCGAATGTGCTGGTACTTATTTGGTGTTTTCATTTTCACTCACTTAAAATGTGTCTTAATTGAGATCCCATTTTCAAGTTCTAGACTGCATTCATTTAAATCACGTATCATCACTTGAGATGAGCAAATGGACAACTGTTCAAACATTGACTTTTTGGCTGTACTTCGCAAATTGACTTGGTTTCGATTTCGTTTCGTTTCCATGCACACATGTGTTTGCTTATTTATTTGAATTTGTGTCGATGAAATCGGTTTTCTCTACGTTTTTTTTCTATGTATATTATTTCAGATTTGAGAAAACCGCAACTTCACGGCACACATAATTCAATAACAACTAAATTAGCAATTCAAATTAATGAAACAAAATTTGAATCAATTTGTTCTTGAATGTAATGTACTCACATTTTTGAAACACCCTGCGTTGTGCCAAAACAATTACTACTAAAACTAAATTTTTTGGCGCTTTGAGTTCAATACATACTTGTTGACGCCTCAAAATCTTCTAACTTTGGTCGATTTTAGTTCAAGTTTGATGCTGAATGTAGTGCATTTTTCATATTTGCTTACCGGAAAATTATTTGACTATGAACGAGTTTATAAATGACCCACAAAATATTTTTATTGTGCAAATTTATTTTAATTTTTGGACAAAAACAGAAAATTTCATTTGAAAATATTGATATGACTGATGTGTAATAATAATATGAATTCAAGGCTGTATAAATCAAATCATTCCATACTTTTTCTTTGCTATTTCCTTCGATTCCAGACCTGAAGCACGTTTAAACTCTCATACTCTGTTTTTGTATCACCCCTTTGTCTTTCGTGCTGGGAAGACTTGATATTTTATTCTCTTTGTTCTGTTAGTCGAACAACCCGTTTTGCATTTTTTCTTAGTTTTTCTTTGTTTCTTTTGCTTTTTTGATTTCGATTTTCGTTTTGTTTTTGATTTCTTGGTCGTTTTGCTTGACTGCTTGCAATT